TCTAACTTGAAAGTGTTTTTTTAACTTGCTTGAAACTTATGGAATTTATTTATATTATTTTTTTTTATTGCTATTTATAATACATTTATCAAAGAACAAATCTGCCAAATTTCATATTTATAACTTAAATAATAAGCATATTATTTGAAAAAATAGGTGTAATGTAGGAATCCAGAATCTTAATACGCGATTTCCCAAAAATCTACTTTTTTTGGATTGTGCCCTTATATTACTAAGGGTGCGATATATATTATAAATATCCGTAATTCCGAAAACCAATTTATAATAAAACCGTTACGCTTTCGAGTAATTTTGATGCTTTTCACAAAGACAAAATTAGCTTTTGTTTTGTAATCTTCCTAAAAAAAAAATACATTTGACATTATGAAAATCCGAGCTAACGTTATTTCGGGCAAATGTATTTTCTGACTTCTGATAGGTAATCCCAAACCGTAAAACGAGTACAACAATATTTTGTTAGTTTTTGCTAACGTTTAATAAAAAAATCATTTTAAAAATAATATTAAAACCAAAGCGACTCTATAGTTTCTTTGTTCTAAATATTTCAATCGCTTGTGGTTCGAACAATAGAAAATGACAAAGAAGTTTATATAAGCTTCTTGAAACGGACGTAATGGGTCTCTTTTAACCTTTTGCGCATGCAATGAGTAGAAAAAGGACAGTTAGGTATTTGATTATTTTATGTGCTTTTGTATTTTATATTTACAAGGCATTTATATATAAATTAAGTACCATAAAACTGTACAAAATAACACTTTTGAATAAGAACTAAGATAACACAATATATTTGTTTAGTGAAAATATTATACAAAATCTCGTTTTACACTTTACTGCAATAATTTTTACAAGTTATTATTATATGGTACTGCATGATTGACAACCGCGCTGTCAGTCGAACAAACGAAGACTGTTGCGCAATTGACGCTCTGTATGTAATTTTAACGCCCCATTGATGCGGACACTTTTTAGCGCGAACCCGATGTCCATTTATTGGTAGGTCAATGATTAGTTTTCTATTTTTCCGGTTAGAGTATAAAATTATGAGAAACTTTAGCCATAATTTCAATAAACTGTGCCTTACTGAGAATAAAAGTCACATTAAGGCGAGCATTCAAAAATAATCTATAGCTTTTTGGCGCTATATTACTGGAAAATGTGGTAATTGTACTTCTATCCCATCAGTGATCATCCATCCCACAATTGTTTGGGAATCATATTGCAACGACCTACACGCGATGTACAGCCTAATGCGACGGTGACAAGTTTCTTTCAGAATATTCAGAGTTATGATTTGGTAACTTGTCACAAGTGTATATCTCTGAGAAGGAAGTTGAGAAAGGCTTAGAATGTTGAGAAAGGTTCTAAGGCCGCCGGCCCTGACGGAAAACAACCACTATTTTTCAAACTATGTGCGCCAATTTTGGCTCTCCTTTTAATGCTAATTTACAATAAATCTCTTAGGGCGGTGTGTTCCCTCGGGAGTGGAAAAAGGCTAGAATAGCTCCTATTCACAAAAAAGGAGATATTAGTGACCTTAAAACTTATCGGCCCATTTTTATCCTGTCTTGCCTCGCAAAGCTTTTTGAACAATTGATGCGTCATATTGTGACAAATTATGTAAATCCCTATATTTCTGCACACCAACCTAGCTCCAGAAGTGGTCGTTCAACTCTTACGAGCTTAGTTAAGTTTGTGACTGATGTGATGACCGAGGTTGATAGAGGTTTCGAAGTTGATGCCGTGTTTACGGTTTTTAGTAGTGCCTTTGACAAAGTCAGTCACAAACCATTGATATTGAAATTGAAACGCTTAGCTATACATGGCAGTCTGATACAATGGTTTAGCTCTTATTTAGCCGATAGACTACGAGTTGTGAATATTAAGGAACATGTATCAAATTACTATTGTGCCAAGTCATGGTTCCTCGGGGATTGATCTTAGGTTTAGGATCTTCCATTCACAATACTTGTTAGTGACATAGCTCAAGAAATACAGCGTTCGAAATTCTCTATATATGCCGATGATTTAAAACTTTACAAAACTCTAAGTTGATACAAACAGATTTAAACAGAATTAAACGCTGGTGTGACGCTAATTGCATGGTGCTTAATACAACTAAAAGTCCACATATTAAATTTACTAGGAAAAGACTTCCGTTGCTACTAATTCTTATATTAATTGTACAATGTTGTAAGAAGTGACACAAATGCGAGATCTTGGAGTTATCATTGACAGCAGGTTGAAATAGTAACCTGTAAAGCAGCAAGGACGTTGGGTTTTATAAAAGGAACGCAAGAGGTTTTAGGTTTCCGCGACACAAGCAACTCTTGTATGATTATTTGGTTCGCTGTAACCTGGAATATAAAAGGTTTTTCAACAAGAACTTTGTTTTGTTAATGAAAATAAAAGTATAAATTTAGATGACAATAATTCAAATTTTTCTTGAATGAAAAAAAGTAAGGTACGCTATCGAGAGATGTTAACAACTCAATTTTGACCTATTATGAATGATATGTATATCACTAACACGTGGTATCAACAAGACGGTGCCACAAGTCACACAGCCACCGAAACAATGAATTTATTGCAAAGCAAATTTCCCGATCGCATAATTTCACGAAATTCAGCCGTTAAGTGGCCAGCTCGATCATGTGATTTAACACCGCTGTCAAATCACATAACATAATCATGTTTTATGGGGTTATGTTAAAGACAGAGTACATACGGAGCCAATCGAATCGATTGCAGCCTTACAACTCAAAATTCGTGAAGTGATTAACGAAATAGACCCACCATTTTGTCAAAAAGTGATTAAAAACTTCGATGAAAGTATGGACATCTGTAACTGTGGTCGTGGTGGACATTTATCAGATATCATTCTTCATTCATAATTGACAAACCTTATTTGTTTTATTCCAATAAAAATTTTAATCATTGTCATCTAAATTTATTGTTCTATTTTGATTTAAAAAAAAAGTTCTTGTTGAAAAACCCTATACTAGTATGGTTAGGAATCCGTTGTATAAATCCAGAGAGCCCTCACCAAATATGTGATGTCCTTACAACCAGCGATTGGCCCATTTTAATTTAATTAGCTAAAGGGAGAACGTGAACTGCAAGATCTTGTATTTTTGCATAAAATAGTAAATGCCTCTACTGACTGAACGGAAGTTTTAGGTCGAGTGAATATCTCGGTTGCGTCTCGTGTTCATCGCAAGCCTTTGTCTCACATTTTTAAAACAGCACGTAGCAGAACTAATTTGGGCACTCGTTGTCCCCATATGGGGAGCTTTGTAGTAGTTTAGTTGGAGAAATTGTTACTCACGCATTTGGGACGGATAGGGGTTGGTCAACCAACAGATACTAATAAAGGTTTATAGCGAAAAATAAACCAAATCTCTTTGCTTGATGTACTTGTGTTGTTTATATTTTTTTAACTAATGTAGATAGGAAGCGCATACCTTTAATTCGTGAAAGTAGCAAATCCTTTAATTCGTGAAAGTAGCAAATGGGTAGCAATTATTGGTAATACATACTTCTGGAAAATCTGCTCCCTTCATGCTGAACAAAGTGGCGACTAGCCATCCTGATATCAGAATGACTGGTCTATTTTTTTTAATTTTTTCAGAATATATCAAAGGTAGCAAATTGTAGTAAGTAGGTAGCAATTTGTGAATATACACTCAGTGCCAGACGCCACAGGCGATCAGCCATCGTGACGGTCACAATGGATGCGGCTAGCACAGAACCATGATGGATGGCACAAACTTCGGGAGGCCTGTACCCAGCAGTGGGTAAAATCAGGCTGTGGATGATGATGATGATGAAGCAAATGAACGAAAGATAACGAATTGTTAGAGATTTAGAGAAAAAGGAAATTACGTTAAATCGCCAACATTCGTTTATCAATTGCATCCGAAATAACCATCGCGATATACAACAACGTAATCCATACTCGCACATTTGACACGCAATGTAATTTAGCCAGGATAACGACTCGTGCGTTATGTTAAGGGTCAACAACAAACTTTGTTAGTGCATTATGTAAAATTCTTTTTAGACGCTAAGCATGTAACCAGAACTAGGCTGCCATCGCATTACGCATATATTATGTAATATTTATATTGCGCCAATATTTGAACTAAGACCAAACTTACAACTTCAAGCACGTCTACATCTAGCAATCAATATGTATAAATAATCCCTGTTTCTCTAAGGAACACAAGCTTCTTCCTCTCCTGTGGGCTGCATTGTGTGTGACCTGCATTAGGGCACGTAAATACGACGCGTACTCACACATCACAAAATGATGATAACCTTGTTGTACATACACAGAGCACCAAATTTTGCTGTCTTTGCATTGTAGCAATATTTTATTCATTCGAATTTAACCACATCTCAGTGGGTAACTACTATAAGTTAATTTGTTTGTGAAAGAGGTCAATCTCAAGTTGAAAAGTAACTCGCAAGCAAAAGTCGTTTCCCTCACAATGTACGACACATTCACGTATAGCCAAAGTTTGCTAAGACATTGTAGTATTTCTACAAACAAATCGAAGGGTCTTTTGTGCACTTAATGAACTTTTTCATCACACTTAATTAGTCTGATTGCATGTAGGTTAACTTGACCATAATGCCCCAAATAAAACCCACCATTATACATAGGGAATTACGAACCTCGACTCCGAAAACCCTCAGTCTTCTAATTCCGCCTTCCAATAGAGTCTCGTTCGTAATTCTTTGACCGTCCTTAATACACAATGCATTATTATATGTCTAAGTGCCACATGTCTAAGTGATTGAAATATACAAAGTGACTCGTAAAGTTTTCACCTTGAATGAGTCGAAATTTTACTATAAGGACCCTTTTGAAATCGCTTAATTTCATACAGAATCGCAACATTTCGCCTTAGCAGCATATCATATATCAGCAGCAGAGCATATTTACACCTTATAGCATACCTTATATATTGAATTACCTTAATGAGATCGATTCTATGCTGGGCTACGACAGCCAGTTTCTCTACTAGATTTTTAAGTCTCTCGTGAACTGCGTGGCTGATTAACCCTGCGACTTCTGCTGATGGTTCTTCTAGATCGTGCTTGGCAGCAGCAGCCCTTAGCCGGGACTGCATTAGGCTCATTGGTATTACGTACTCGTCCTTGCACGATCTGTAAAAGATACACTCGAACATAATAGATGCTAAACGCAAGGTGTTAATTTCTATATTTATATAAATGAATCAGGCACCAATGTTACCTGATTTGGGTGCCTATCATTTCAGTAGAACCAAGAATTCGCTGGGTTTCCTCTGCCAAGTTAACACCGCCCATAGCAGCAACGTCGTTTATGTCATCATCTCCGGTCATCTTATCGTCGGCAAACGGCTGCGATGAGTACTGCATTGATTTCTTTTCTTTCTCCTTCAGTAAAGACTTTCCGGGAGTGAGGACCGTGGACAGAGCAGCTGAGGGCGCTGAAGGCCGAGGAAAGTTAGCCTTATTGTTCACCGTCATGGGCTTGCCGCTGCTGACTTTGCTTACGTTGATTTTTGTTTGTACCGGAATATTCTGGAGAACCGCTATCGTACCGGATTTCGTTGTTTTTGGCTAAAAACAAATCAATTGCTAAAGGTTCAATTCTTGAAACAAACATATGCAAATTGCACATTATTCTAGTTTTATTTCCCTGATGTTTGTGAAATGTTATGTGTTTTATGGCTGCTACATATGTTGTAAGTTGTCAATGGATATCTGCTTAAATGTATGTATGTACACAAGCCTACTCTTTCCAAAAATTGGATAGACAAATGTTTTTACCGTATCGACAAAATAGCCGATCAATTGGCAGTTCCATGTATTGACGCGTAAACCATAGTACAGTAAGACAAGCATGGTAACTTCATACAAACGTAACAGCGCGACTTGTATGTGTGTGCGCCGTGTTCACACACAAACGCATAATCTCGCGATGCACTTGCGTTGCATAACACTGGTCGCCTTTAAGTATTTATTATTTAGATACAAGCGTAGCAGCATGAATTGTATGTGCGCGCGCCCACTGCGTGCATAATCTCGCGAAGGATTCGCGTTGCACAGCGCTGGTCGTCAGACGCGCCTTTCATTATTTTGAGAATGTGCGCGCTGCTACGCTTGCATGCAGTTACCATACTTGTCTTATTACACTATGGCTTTGCGTCGATATACTTTTAATGATCGAATGAGCGAAACAGACATTGTGCGTTTCGCGACGACAGTTATTGCATGACATAAAGTTTCTTCTGACCCGACTTAAGTCGATTCCGTGTTTATAAGAGTTTTGTCTCCATAACTTAACTGTACATTCTAGGTGACAATGTGAATATGCAGCAGGCCTTAAAACGTATTCCATTCTTCGTAGAATATAACGTAGGGCTACTATAATAAATGTAACCACTAATCGTGATCGCCGAGCGCATCACAATATCCAATGTTTTTTCATCCAAACGAGAAAGGACTCATTACAACGAACACTATTGTCACGTGAAAGATAAAAGTATCTCTATACCATGTACCTACTAAAATGTATTATGTAAATATTAAACAATGACGCCCCACTGGAAGAGGCAGCATTAATTTGTGTCGGTTTCATCTACTATATTATGGATTAAATAAAACTGACGATATACAAGTATTATCAAAACATGCAAAGCGACACGTTCTAATCATGCACATGGCAGATAGGACAGGGAATAAGAAATAATGGATAAGACACAAAGATATAAACGTTGGACATTTTCAACCGCCCATGCAGAGCTACTTCTCGAACATATCGCTTTCTAGGGCTAATAATTTCAGTCAAAGTACTCGTTCGTACGTAGTAATGTTCTTTCGAACAAAGGTACACGTTTAAAACGGCAAATATAACTGAACGTTTTCCTCGCTTATTCGAACGGGAAGGAAAATGGCCTGGCGCAAGAGGCGACACACATTTGTAATTAGTTCCAGTAATTGTACTCTAGTTATTAGACAACATCATGCATTGACATCGAGAGCTACGCAAAATAGAATTAGTGCAACAAAAGATGTGATAACATCCAATATTATGTACTATCGTCACTACCGGAATAAGATCTAACTTCGCCTTCGAACGCCTAAACTATGTTTCCATGACTAGGTATGCAGATGAAAAAAATAAGAGAAAATAAGATTTTAAGTATTTCAACGAAATGAGTTTGATTGAAATAATAGATCGTATGCTACGACGACGCAAAAAAACGCAGAAAACAATGAAAATGCAGAAGCAACATATATTTAGGTAGATTACACGACGGGGGTTCACAAACCTGCGCCGTGGTTGTGGGCTGCGCCGGTACAACATTAATGGTTTTGTGCGGGGCTACGATAGGAGGTGCTAATGATACAGGCAGCACCGGTGGCAGAAGAGTCGTCAGAGTCGGACTCGACGAGTCTTCGTCATCGCTGAAGTCCTTTCAACATTACAGCGGGTTTTAATTCTAATCATAGTAAGAACTAGCTGCTAAATAATGAATAGAAGTTTGCTGTTAACCAAAATCAGATCTAAGAACATCAGTTGACAGAATAATGAAGCTGCTGTAAGCACGCTCGAATAGTATTGTGTCAAAATAGCGTGTAGAGCTTAAACTGATGCAATAGTACTTAAACAAAATTAACTCTCTCGACTATGGGTCTTCCACCGTAAAAACCAAGTAGCTCAAAGAATTAGATTGGCAAAGAATATGAAATTGTAAAAAAATGATCGGCTGTCTGGATCGGCGCAGCGTCCTCCTCTACCATAAGTCAATTTGTTTGTTGTTACACACGACCTAACTTATATTTTGAACCATTTATATAATATAACGTATCGGTATCATAGATGGCACCTAAGAATAATAATATTATTGTTGACACTCCCGTTTTGGGCTTGAACATAATTGACATTCATACGACAAATTGAATCAATATTGATGATGAATAATATTCCCGTTATACACTTTATAAGGAAAAATAGGTTAGTACACGCCTAACTCATATCTTATGCAACCACATGGAAACGAACATATTTTGTAGAATTCTATTGTAGTCTCAAACATTATTACTTGAGGAACACAGTACACGGAGAACATACTTAATTTGTTAGATATTCGAGAAGGTTACTAATTACTTTTGCTGATTTACTATGTGTGTTGCTGCACACAGTTTAATAATTAGATATACTTACCATTTGCATGTTGGCAGAAGTAAGGACTGGTTGCACAGGCGAAGGCATCGTGGAGAACGCCACATGAGGGGCGGGAGGATTGATACCCTCTATAATGAGCTCTCTCGTGACTAGAGATTGTCTCAAAAGAGGCAAACTTTTCTGAAAGTTACGTTTTTTATTACGACTACGAATGATATTGATTATAGTAAGATTTTTTGAGGTTTAAATTATGTTATTTGTAATTTGAAATTATGAACACGTTCCTAAAGATGTTTGAAGAAAAGGGTAGGCTTAGAGTTGCAACTTTTTTTTTAAATTAATAAAAGATGCAAGGAGCTTTGGCCATGAGCAAAAGCCATAAATACTAACCTTTAAGAACCCAATTAAGCAAGGTTGTGGACTGGCATTTAGCAAACGTTCTAGTCTGTCACAGAATTCTTCTGGCTCTACTTGAGCATCAATGAGTTCCTGTATAAGATTACGAACATTTTGCTCAACAGATTTCGGCTCTTTACTGGACAGATCCAGGAGATTGGCTAAAAAATTCCTGCATTTCTCTTTTGTATTATCCGACGGTTTCTGGTAAAAAAAAAATTACACATGTAGTCATCGTTGAACCATTGTATTTACTAAAACATGACATGTAACAATTAAATGCATGGAAATAATTTAAGGTAGATTTGCCCTTTTTCCTATCATAAATGTGTAACTGAAGGAACTTTAGTGACATGCTTGTTTATGATAGGTAATACAGATACATAGAACCGTGTGTATTTAGAAATACAGTGAAAAGTGAAAGAATTGTACAAAAATCGTGTCGCTAAATAGACAATGACTAGAAATTAGTGACTGATTTAGATCAAACAAATACTACACAGGAACCCCCATTAACGTTACAGTAAAAGTGTCTATTTTTAAATAATTATGAAAATGACATCTATTTGCGAAGTAAGGTCATTAGTTTGTAATGTTATTATACCATTACAGATATTTTAATAACAATTTAACTAATGTGAATTATTTATAACGAAATTCCTGTTGTTTATGGAAAGGACAACTTCATTATTAATTAATATCTTTACTAATTCTATTACTATAATACAGCTTAGTAATTTTATTTGAAATTATTAATTTTCAAATATTTTAAAATTTTATTAGTCTTTACCATTAAATCAAATGAAAGGGTTGTTCTTTTTAACAAGATTAACATTATGTATGATATAAAATAAGATGAGAACCTTTATATTTTATTATGACACCCAGTTATTATGGGTGTCATAATAAAACATATGGGGTGGGGCAGTGTAACCTGTAACATTTATTGCAAGTTCTAGTTTTGTAGTACCTCATCCTGCCTATTTAAACCAAAAAGAAGACTAGAGCTGGATTGGACTTCCTAAGCAACTTAGTACACCTTAGTGCAATAGTGAATCGATGGACATCAGCTGAAACTTACATTGTAATTAACTAGAGTGACTTACCTGTGTGGTTACCGTGGGTGCTTGAGGCGTAGTCGTAGCAGATGCTACTGAAGCAACAACCGGAGTGGCCACGGGGCCCTGCGGTAGTTGCGGTGGTAACTGACCCGGTGACGCCACACTGGTAGATACAGTTGCCACACCGGGATGCTGAGTAAACAAAAACAAAAAAACGACAATTAGCAAGAATCACAGTAAGGCTCAATTGAGTACTACACATGCTTTTCAACTGACCTGATGTCAATGCTACAAAAAATCTAACTGAAAGAATCTAAATAAAATAAACTTGGAATTATCCAGGTCACAGAGCGAATATATATCTAAACCACTACATTCACAAGATGCAACATTGACTCTGGCATTCACAAAGGGATTTAAAAAATGTTATACATCAAAAGCGAGAGTACACATATTGCCGATAATATCAAAGTGATGGCAATTTCAAAATCTGCATAAGAAACCTAAATTTAGTCTATTCTACAGACATATTAGTAACATCAATACAATGAAGTCAGAAAAATCTGGGCTAGAACCTTACCTTACCTTGTTAATTACCTTTGAAACATGCACCTCCACCATATTTTACATGCATGATAGACCATTTGAAACTGGACAAACAATATTATGCAAAGAAAGTGCTAGTAGAAGCTCTAAGTGTGAACTAGTTCATTGACCTTGTTTGATTGTCCAATTTCAGAGACTTGTGGGTGAGCGGATTGGTGCCTACTTACTGCCGGCACGGTCGATAACCGGATGGTTTGACCCTGTGGCGCCGTGAGAGTGCTGGCCGCGGGCGCGGGGCCCACCCTCAGGAGCTGGTATTGACCGTTCTCAGTCTTTAACAACAAATGACCCTGCTGCCCCGGTTGAAGACTCTGCAGAGTTTGGAGCGTTATCTAAAAATGAACGCCTTGTTTGAATGTACTAACTCACAAGCAATCTGTGCAGCTAATTTACAATATTAATTTTAATTATTTTTAAGACTGAAATAATGAATCTAAAGCAGGTCATTTGTTAGGTGTACACATAATGAAAAATACAATGAATGATAAAATGTGCAACATCTAGATACACATATCACTACAGGCTCTAAACAACTTCAGCTTGATTGGTACATAGAGTTTAAACCACCATTGATTCTATAATTTATTACATTTAATTTGCTCGTTCATACAAAGATCAACACGTTTACACTTATCCCAGTAATACTTACACAAAGAATGAGTTCAAAGCTAACACTATCTTCATGGGCTTCATTTACACAAACATGGTGGAGTATATAATTTTTTTTATTTAAAATATTTCACAAAACATTATAATGATGATACATTCCCAAGATTAACATAGGTTTGTATTCTATAAGCTTTTGAAAGAATAAGCAAAAAATCAATAACTGTGCATATCTATCTCTGTACAAAGTTTAATATGATTTACTGTGGTGTATACAATTTTCAACAAGGATTTACGTCAACAAAACATATTATGCAAAAATCAATAACGATAACAAGTGCAACAAGTCCAAATAAATGTTCATTTACAAATCCTGACATCTGTATCACCATTATAACACTGGTTAAAGAGAAAAAGTTGATAGTCAAGTATAACACAGTTCATGACAATGAAACATACATTTAGATCCTGGGCTGGAGGTCCTTTGCATTCAGAAGGGAACAATATGCAGGAGATATTATTACATACCATACATGCAACATGAATAGTACATGATCATGGATTGACAGTTGTTTATGTGTAGAGGAACTAGTGATGTAGAGTTGCCACAACAAATATTAGTATATGTGGAATTTAAATGTTCTTACAGACCAGAGCGGCATTGTACAAAAGCATGTGTCCAATATATACATTAAGATTGCTGTGCACCAAAAATTTACAAATAATGTTAGCAAATAACTTGAGAAATAGCTCTACAATATTTTTTCATTTACTAAATTTTGATGCCCAACAGATGCAGGCCAACACCAAAGACTTTTTTGCAGTGACCTTTAGCTCAAGGTACATTCATTGTAACAGAATGTCTGTTACTCCACGAGCTTAAAAATACAGAAAATACTCATTTGTTATTTTATAATTCACTTGAGGAATTGAATGACCTTGATTATAGCAAATGTAGTCTCAAATGTAGGCCTACAAGATCGAAACTGAGGCTATGTGACTATCTTATCTTAGTAACAGAAAGTATGATTATGCTACATAGTGGCTATACAACAGCAAATAGAGACAAAGACTCACTCCAGGTGCTGCCTGCCTTGCTCCAACCACTTGCGGTGCCCCGATGACAACTCGTGGCGACACAGTTGCCACAGACTTTTGAGCACTAACAGCCGCAGGAGCACCAGGCCTCATGTTCAGTATCTGAACATTTGGAATTATAGTAGGCTGTGCCGAGCCTATATTTTGTGTGGTCACTACTACATTCTGTGGTCCAGGCTTATTGATAGTCATTACATTGGGTATAGACGTAGGCATATTAGAATTCACAGTCATCGGAACAGTCACCATGCCTGGTTGAATGCCTACTTGGCCAGTTGTAGTCCCCTGTTTTATCACCAAAGGTGGTTGCATAGTAAGTATTTTGTTGGCAGATTGTGGTACCACTATTTGGTTTTGTGATCCGAGTCCTATGCAACCGTTCGCGATTGACTGAGTCGGGAAAGTCACACGATTAGCTGAATTTGGCAGATTTTGTGGAGTTTGTGAGTATATTACTTTTAGTGCTTCGTTCGAACTCGCAACTGATCCAGTTATACTATGCGGTAAAACAGTTTGACCAGAGCCAGGCACATTAAACGACACATTAGCGGCAACACTGTTAACAGATTGATAGTTTCCACTCTCCACACCACTGATTTGATCTGTGTTGTATTTTTGAACGCCAATAATAGAACTTGCAGACGAAGAGATACACCCTAGATGACTTGGATTCACATTCACTAAGTTGTTTTGTGACGATACCGAGGACACGGACGTAACTAACTGGTTTTCGAGCGAGCCTACGATGGCGTTGACTGCGTTCTCATCAACGTCTGTGGACAAAGCCTGCTCTAAAAACTCGGCTGACGCCATTTTATACAAATCGACGGATATGCGCTAGAGTACCCCTAAAATTTAACGATGGATATTCCCAACGCAAATTTAAAATAGCGGTTTTTAAAAGACATCCAATGATCTCATATACTTAGGATGTCTAATCAATATCAGGTACTTTATTTTTAACTCGAGTTACTCCCACAACGAATCAACTCGAGCTACTTTTCTTAGAACTCGAGCTAGTTTAGCGATGGTCGAGTCGAGATATTTTTCTCGATTAACTCGAGTTACTCCCACAACGAGTCTTTTCTACTTTTTTTTTATGAACTTGAGCTAGCTCGATTCGGTACCCAACCCGCGCCGAACCAATACTCATTCATACAGCGCATCGGCTACTCGTTTTCACTCGGTCGGTTCGGCGACTTTCGGAGCATACTTCAGTCGCAGTCTGCTAGAGATGGGTCGTCGACGCGTTTTCCGTTAACGAAACGCAACCGCCCATCGTCGGCGATCAACTAGTCGGTCAACTAGTTTTTGTCGACTAGTCGATCATTCAACTTAAGTTGATTTTCGTTCGTAAGACGAGTTTAACTGAATCAACTAAAGTAGCTTTTGAGAATATGAACTATAGTTTTGGAAATTAATTCATTTCCAATGTTTATCATGAGCGCGGGTATCAACGCTTTTAACATACTGCAATAGAGTTTAATTCCGATAGATTCAACGGCATTGCGTCACAACGGGCCAACGTCTCTCTTTCGTTCTAGCGAATTAACTACACCGTCATCCTTTTTGTATATTGAATGCACTATTGCAATAATAAATAGCATAACAGACTTATCTTACTTCATCGCACATATTCAAAGATCAACTTACACGTACAGAATTTAAAGTTCAAAATATATTTTCTATGTAATTCTATGTATAATTCGACTAAGTCCGCACGTCGTCTCGTGACGCAGAGCGTTGATTAACGCGTGGACTCTCCGTTTAACCGTGTACGAATTCTACTAGTTAACCGAAGAACGGTAGGCCGTAGACACGTCAATTAGACGTGAACAGTTGATTCGACTAGTTCGTCCATTCAACGCCCGCCTCTACAGTCTGCCGCCTGATCGTGCCCAACTCGGTGAATCGTAGGTTCCAGTCCATAATGTGAATATAAGCCGCATCGCTCTCGCCACTCGCGACTCGCGATTGCTCTGTCAGACATCGAGTCAAGTCAACTCGAGTCAGCAATCACGTCAGCTCGAGTAACTCGGGTTGAAAAAAATACAACTCGTCACATTGCTAAACGAAGACATCGATTATTGAATTTGAATTGATGGTAATTGGTTCGTAAACAAAAGTCGTTGGACGTTACTCGTATCATATAAATATGTGGACTGAGAACAGTTAGACCGTCAGACCCCGTCATCCGATCCAAGATTATTACAATAGTATTTTATTTGTAGGGGCTGACTCGGATAAAATCAACAAAACACCGTTCAATGAAAAGGTTTTATAGATAAGTTGACCACTTATAAATTACACAAACTGATGCTCGATCGCTATTGAACTCATGGTTAGTGTACTGATATAATATTGCTCATACATGACGTATACAGGTCTATCCACACTTAACCGGGCTGTGCCCGAGAAGTGGACGGGCCGTGCTCTGTCAGGGGCTCAAAAAAATATCGTTGCGTATATTTTGTATGAACTCGTTCACATATGTCCGTGTCCGGGCCGGCGCCGGAACGGCACCGCAGTTCATACAAACTAGTACGCCCCATCCACGCCCCGTCCACTGCCCTGATGTGTGTGGACAGTCCTTTAACGTAAGAGCTCGTCAAGCTTGACACTTTGTACTTTGGACCGTTCTTAACAAAAACCCCATAGTTGGATTTAAATCTTGAGTGACAAGATTGACGTGCTCTTGACCCTATACGACCTTAGAGGATGGAACAAAAATAAAAGATACGAACACACTCCGTCCGTGGGCGCTCGTAAAGTGGAAACTGAGATTAAATACTCAGAAGTCAAGCCTTTTAAAGATCTTTTGTAAGCGTTGCTGTTATACTGAAGAAAAAGAGAAACTAATGATTAGGCAGTATGGCCTTTGACGTTCGCCTGTTCCAAACGGAACGAACAAAAAAGCGTTGCTGTCATTTAGACGTGCGGCGGACGTGCGTCATTGCTGCGCGTTCGCTTGCTTTGTTTCGCGCCATATCGCCGTATCAATCACGCCATTTCGGTTATCGAAAGTTACTGTTGTTTGTAAGAATTATTACATACTTATTCTTGTGAATGGTCAGAATCGTGTCCCAAAATGCACGTCCGAATAAGAGTATCTGGAAAGTCTGACACCATAGTGGTAGTGGAGTCGAAACTGACTAAAATTGAAAATTTTCGACGAATCATTAAAGACAAATTTGACATCGACGTAAAATTACAGCGATTATTCTACGGAGGAAAGTTGGTAAGCATCGTCGTCAGGTCCTTCACATTTTAACCTGCAATAGTAATAATTTAGTGTACTTTGATTTTTAAATTTCTGATTTTTTACATTAAAATACTCCCCATGTGTATAAGCGGCGTATGCGTCGTTATTTGGAACATATTTTATGTTTATTTCATTATTATTGTTCTTCTCTGTAGCTAGAGGATGGTTATACATTCCACGATTACAATATTAAGTTGAACGACGTCATACAACTTATGATTAGAGATGCACCACAAGGAAAGGCCGAAAAAGAGGATAATGATACCTCAGCTTCAGGCAAGGTGGAGCAGGATAATCAAACATTTGACAAAAATATTATCCATACAGGTAGGATTTTAGCTCTTGTAAGCAGTTTTTAGAACGAATTTTCAATAATTTAGTAAATTCATATACCATTTGAACTGATTTAAAAACTCATATAGAATAATAACGCGTAGAATGATAGTTTCATATCAAACGAACTGTTAGAAGTTGGGCAAAAATCAAATTCATGTAGGTGTAAGCAACTTGTATTAATGCTCGTCGGCATGCACACAAATATACTAATAATGATGCTACGGAACATTTCCATCAAAAGTGGAGAAATTGTCTCTTGCTTCACTCATCAAGTTAATAAATACTACCCAATTTTTATTTAATTCATAGATGAACAAAAGCCTAAAAGCGAGTTTAAGTGTGACTATCAAATTTGACTTTACTTCATGAAAATTTGGATATATAAATAGCCTGATAATATCGGTGGATAAACACGAGAAGTACACGATAACAATATAGAACCTGAAAGTTATTTATACGCTACTTTGGCGAACTGATGATGACTTTTTTAGTCAGTGTTAGATCCCTGAAATAAGTTAAGAACTTTTAAGTTTGGACAAGAAAATTTTTTTAAATGAGTCCTGTATGATGAACAAGAATAATAATTTTCACATGAAACGAATGAGGGCAAATATTAAATATATTCTGTAAAAATAGCTTACATTTGTAGAAATTATGCAACTGTAGCAATATTGCCTATTCTAAAATTTTATGTAATATAATTAGTTTGAAACAGAATAGCAAAATGGGGAGAAAAAACCATTACTTTGCAACATTTTCGTGTCTTGTTGCAACGAAATTAGTTTTCTGTTTTAGTGAATATTTACATAAAAATACAAGTTGAAACGCTTTACTTCCCTGTGGAATGTGATTTTCTATTTTATGTTTGTCTGACATATTTTTACACTCGTTTACCACACATTTTGTCATTTTTAGTTAATGTTCTTGAGCTGTTCGCAGTGCAAGTTGACCTTGAGCAATGACAGCCTGCCCGCTCGTGTAAGCCTATTTGGGTCCCTACAATTTGCTTCACTTAGGGTGTGTGGACTAGGTTTCTATGCGTTATTACTCTAAGAAAACTCAAATTGCACACAATTGAAACATTACTGCAAAGTTCACACATGGTTACTTCATTTGATACAAGGAAGTGTCATAGCAGATGATATAGGCAACTGATAATCAATTATGTGAATTGATTTACAGATGTAACCAGCCAATATTACATTGTTGGTGACATTATTGACATGCGAGATAGAGAGTATGGTGCATGGTTTGAAGGGAAAATAGTCAGAATAGTGTTGGAACCTAAAGCTCAGCACAAATACACAGATATTGATCATCAAAAGAGTGAAATTATAGATTTGAAAGATGAGAGTCAGGGAAGTGATTCTGAAAACACTCCTCCGGGAGAAATTGTGAATGAGGAAAACCCTAAATCTAAAAGAAAAGGAATTGCTAAATATTTCACTAAAGCTGTTAATAAAAAGAAAGAAATTCAGGTCAGCAGTAGAGTCCATGAAGATGATCTGCTTTTTAAAATACAACTTGACGATGAGTAAGTAATTTGCTCCCTTACTAAGTTGCTATGAAATATAAGCTTCCTTATATTGCTCTTATTCCCATAGTCTCTCTAGTGGTTTCTCTGATACATTCTCTTGTAAACCTGCTTATAAGACCTTAATTCAGAATTTGGTACAGCACTGTTCAAGTGCATCCAGCGCGAAAGCCCTGGTTTGTGGACGGCGCACTTTCTAGAAATGTATTGGTCTTGGCATTGGCTTTTAGACTACATACTGGCCACTAAATAAGTTCTACCATCTAATAAAAAGATTGGAATCTCCAGTATGTAAATTCTGTAACAAACTTAAAGATATGCTACATTTAATGGAAAGTGACCATTATGTCGCTCTGAGAAGCCAATTTCAATTAGGGGATATTTGGCAGGTTGGGGAGTTAAATGTAGTGTTGGGTGAACTGTTGACGAAGAGGGCTAAAACTATACTCATATGTGAGGTCTTGTCTCGCGACAAGACTGGCGACATGCCATGCGATGGCGACAATATATATTACAATAATATAATACACAGGGATTGACGTCACAAGGCCGACATTAACACCCAAGTGTCTTATTAATGGCCTTATTAAAAATAAGATTATTAAAAAAAATAAAGAAAAATGAAGGCCCATTTTGTTTTTAGTTATATTTCTGCATATAGCGGCTTTATTGTGGCCACATGAAGTAGCTTTAGCTTTATTTATTAACATTATATTAGGGGTTAAAGTATGAAATTGCCGTTTTATTGCAATAGGTTCTTTGAATTTTCGTAGAATCTTCATGGTTTGAGGTTTTCGAATGAAACTTTTTTCAAATGGTTTGTGATTTTTTTTTTTAAATTTGAAACACATGAATATCGACTTTCAATTGTTTTTGTTATTCAATTTAGACAAGAAAGATGGATACTGCGAAAATTCGAGTGATTTTTGAATACGAGTTCCGACGCGGAACTAACGCGGCAGAAACAGCCCGCAATATCAATGCTGCGTTTGGAGAGGGGTCTACTAATGAACGCACCGTGCGATTTTGGTTTAAACGCTTTCGTGATGGAAATTTCGACTTAAAGAACGAGTCACGAGGAAGACCGCCCACACAGGTGAATAACGATGAATTAAGAGAGATAGTGGAAGCCGATCCTAGTCAAACTACCCAGGAATTAGCGGCATGGTTTAACGTTACCTTACCCACAATATTGACTCACTTGCGTCAAATCAATAAAATAAAAAAATACGAAAAATGGGTGCCTTATGATTTGACTGATCTGCAGAAAGAAACGCGTGTTGAAACTTGTGTTGCCTTGTTGAACCGGTACAGAAATGAAGGAATATTGGATCGAATTGTAACATGTGATGAAAAGTGGATTCTTTATGATAACTGGAAAAGAAAAATGCAATGGCTGACCCCAGGTCAAATGCCACAACAGTGTCCTAAAGCAAAACTTACCAATAAAAAGGTAATGGTAACTGTTTGGTGGTCTCAGCACGGTGTTATTCACTATAGTTTTCTCCGATCTGGTCAAGCAATAACGGCAGATGTCTATTGTGCCGACCTCCGAACCATGTTGACAAAACTAGCAGTAAAACAGCCCCGACTCATGAATCGATCTTCACCATTATTGCTCCACGACAACGCGAGACCTCACACAGCACGAGAAACCATTTTGACCCTTCAGGAACTGCAGTTAGAAACCATTCGTCATCCTCCGTATTCACCAGACCTTGCTCCAACGGACTACCATTTTTTTCGTGATTTGGACAATTATCTACGTGACAAGAAGTTTTCTTCCCAGGAGGCAGTACAAAATGCTTTCACACAGTTTGTGCAGTCTAGATCGTCGGAGTTCTATCGCAAAGGCATTAATAACCTTCCCATTAGATGGCAGCAATGTATAGATAATAATGGCAACTATTTTGATTAAATAAATTTGTTAAAAATTTAAAAAATAAACAATTTAGATTTTCAGTACAAATCGGCAATTTCATACTTTAACCCCTATTATATTAATTTACAAAATATGTGTGTTACATGTACTACAAGCACAATATTTCAACTTTGCAGCGAAGAAGACTCTGACATTTATTGCAAATTAAAAGAAATTAGACCTCGGGCACGCAATGTTGTTGAAATGACTGACTTGAAAGAAGGACAAACTGTTATGATTAACTACAACACTGACCATCCTCTGGAAAAGGGTTACTGGTTTGTAATTCTATTTCTCGTAAATTGCTAAGTCCTTATACTTACATTGTTCTTGAGTAAGATCATAAAACCGCAAAATAGCAGTGTCGGGTTGTTTTCCATGCACAATCTGGCAAACGTGAAATGGAAAATGTTTTTGATTTCAATGTTAAGATTTACTCTATTTTTGTCACAAGAAAATGAGACCAAGTAAATATTTTTTCTTTCTGTCCGTCCAAGTAGCGTAAAAAAGTTTTATTGATTTATTCACCACATTCTCTGTGTTTACAATTATGCATAATAGTTATGTTTTATTGTATTCTACCCATTGACTATGTAAGTCAATGATTCTACCTGTAAAACATTTGTTTCTTAAATTACTTTGAACATTAGTTCAACGTTCCCATTTCAATGAAGGGTCTATTAGGCCGCAATGGCCGCATCTTAATGTTGTCCTCTTCTTTTGCATTGCATAACATAATGTAACAGCTGCATGTAAATCGCTGTATATTCAGGTACTGATTTGAAACAGACTACCAATTTACATTTTGTTATTATCCACAGGTATGACTTCACCTTAAGTGAAATAAAGAAAACCCGCACGACCTATGAACTTGTAGGTACTTTGTATTTGGGACCTGAAGCTGTACCCCAAAATGAAACACAAGTGAAAGTTCACGATAAGATTTTCAACATTGAAGAAGTAATTCCACTTGAGAAAAGATCTGAAGAATATAAACGTATGATGGCAACACTGCCTGAGAAACGTAAGTCTTTTAGTATTCTCACAATTTAAAGTATTTGAAGGTCTTACACAAGCAGGCTAGGGAAAACATACTCTTGAGAATCATTACCTTAGTGTCCATACTGTTGATTTATAAGATATCTGTGTCAGGATCATCTCCTCTGAACTGTTTGACCTGCCGCGACAATGAAATGACGCCGTGCAAGGATTGCGGGTGCTTTTTGTGCTTAGGAAAAGAAAATCCTGAAAAGGTTAGTATTGATTTAATTTTAAATATGTAAGTTAGTTTCTATAATGTGTTTTTATTTTTTCATCATTATGGTTTCGGAAACGTACATCAGGAACACTTAGAATGAAGAGAATGTCTGAAGATTTTTTGCATGGCAAATAAGAGCTGGCCCTGTTAAACATCTTGATAATCTTATGGTGATTGTTATGAAATTTGCAGATAGTGCTTTGTGACGAGTGCAACAATGGTTACCATATGAAATGCCTTATACCACCACTGAAAGAGCTTCCTGAGGAAGATTGGTACTGCCCGTCATGCAAACGCGACCCTACCGATGTAGTGGCGCCAGGTGCTGCTAAGCAGACGAAAAAGACAACAGCTTCGAAGAGTAGCAGGGATTGGGGAAGGGGCATGGCTTGTGTAGGTATGGTCATCGCTTCACCTGTTTCACATGGTAGCCTCTCAAAGTGAAAACGACGCAACTTCCACAATTTCACCCTTATTTCAACTACCTTGCATACATGTATAAACTTTATTTGTGAGATGCCAGCGAATTTATTTGTACTTGTGTTTATGAATTACAAAATCGTAGTCCGTAATTGCTTTACCATTTTCTCTTAGGTAAAACAAAAACATGTGCAATGCCGCCAAATCATTTTGGGCCGATTCCTGGCATTGAAGTAGGCATGTGCTGGAGGTTCCGCATACAGGTAAGCGTAAAAATTTAATTTTTCAATATTTTCTTAACAATTGTCGGATGTGATGTGTCGCGCGCCCTGTAGATAGCCACTGCACAAATTGATGGGGAATTGGATCAGGCCGGTTAAAAAAAACATTCTTTGGTCATAGTTGTATTTAGATCTTAGAGGATGGAAAAAATAAAGAAAAAGAGCTTTTTGTATTTATGCATTGGTGTAGAAGTAACCTAATTTACCACTAAAGCTAGTGCTGGAATTGCATTATCATGTGATCTGGTTACATTGAAAGTTGTGTTAAAATTTGATTCTTCAAAATGAATTGAACAAATGAATATGATCTTTGATCTAATGTTTACATTCGGCAGTCCTACAATTTCCAACCACTCTTTCTTTCTGTTTTCATTTGTAGCTACCTTAAAAATAACAATAATGAAATAATAAGAACCTCGCAGTGAATTGTTTTAATAACAGAATATCGATAATACATCTGCTTACTAGAACAACACTATCTCAAAATAATCCTTATCAACAATCATCAAAATATACAAACAATCTGAAGTGACCACAGCAAAATTTGGCAAGATTTATGAATAAACTACTTAAATAAGTGTAATTACGTGAGATGTTGTGTATTGTGTGATTTATAGACAGAAAAAATAACACATGCCAGTGCAATGTAACATTCGGTTGATTTTAGCTTTTTCTAATACCACACCATTGAATGCCGCAGCGACTCATTTTTATTAATACCTAATTGTACTCACTGTCAGTATTTTAGTCCATTTTATTACAATTCATGCGAATAATTCAATAAAATACTTGGTGAAAGACAAATGAGTTACTTTTTTTCTCTTGTTTACTAACGAAATACCACTGACTCCGAGTTTTAGTTTTTAATCATTCTTAATGACTACCGTGTTCCATGTTACGAACTATTAATAACGAATTCAGAAGTAACTTGTACGGTTTTTGTACAAAAAACTTCAAGGCTACTATCCCTAGGTCCCCTACATCATTCATTTTGGGCATGGTATCATACAGATCTCTAGAAGTAAGGCGAAAATTGGCACTTGTCAATTATATATTTTGCCTAATAAGGGGATATCTCAGTAATCCCATTCTATTGACTCAGATCCCTTTTTTCTATTCCGCCAATAACACAGTACGTTCTACATCAGCGTCGACACCCCCCCTTCGCTGTGCATGTAATCCGCACGGAGGCACTACGCCGGACACCATTCTACGAGGCTCTAGCCTTGATAGAAACTTTAAATGGTATTAATGATACTGATGTGTTCATTAAATCTGAATCGAAATTTCCGACTCCCCGCCCGAAGCTCGGTGATCGTAATTCCGCAGCTTGCTTTTGGGCGGTGATTGACTCGACCCTTATTAGTCAATAAGTGGCTTCAGTTATTATTACTGTTATAAAGTTGTACAATATGAATAAATAAGTAAGTAAATATTGATGTCATCCGAATTGTACCTAGATTAAGAGCTGAAGAAATAAGTTATTAATTCTAAGTGAAGATTTCAGATTGTACTAACAGTGTTTGCATTAAATTTACTTTTATGTTAATGTTAGCTTTCAGAATCGGGCGTCCACAGACCTCCGGTGTCAGGCATACACGGGCGCGATGTAGAGGGTGCATACAGCATTGTGCTCTCGGGTTTGTATTATAGGATTTTTAGTTGTGTTTAAGCTCGGTAAGAACTGGGTAAAGAAAATTATATTTAATTTGCTATGGTTGTGTATTTAGGCGGTTACGAGGACGACGTGGACAACGGCGACGAGTTCACGTACACAGGCAGCGGGGGCCGGGACCTTTCCGGGAATAAGAGAACTGCTGAGCAATCGTGCGACCAGACTCTCGCCAGGGAAAATAAGTGAGTATTTTAAAGAATACAATATACTAATTTACCAGATAACCACAAAAAATGACCTGGATGCAAAAAACTGGAAATCCCTTTACTATGATCACCAGAAAAGAATAGAAGATTTAATGAAGCCTTAAAGGTATATTAGCGCTATAAATGAATACATTCCTGTATCAAATATATTAAAAGGCATGCATGTCTATTCTCCACAAAACAGAGCCCTTTTGACCTGACTTCGACTTTCCGTGATATATTCATAACGATAGCGGTCGGCTACTTGGAATGGACTTTGTGGTTTTTAAAAATATCAACTGGCCACCTTGGATTCACTTGTACAAGTATTCTACAAGTTTTCCAAGAGAGTGTGCGATGGAACTGCACGATTTAATACCTTCCTGTTCCACCCCTATGGTGTGGATATTTCAAGAATTCGCCCGAAGCGTTACGCTTCTACATTTATATGGCGGTAGGCTACGGAGTGGAATTCCCTGCCTGCAGACTTATTGCCTGATAGCCGTAACTTGGGTCTTATCAACGAGAGTGAATAAGCATTATTTGCATATTGGTGTTCATGCTCCATCGTGGACCACATCGTCACATTCCATCAAGTGAGATGGAGATCAAATATGAACCTTTTTTATTTAAAAAATGTGATGTTGACTTAGGAAACCAGTTTAACTTTGGAGTCACTACTCAGAACACTAACACTTGGACCACTAACTAAATAATAAATAATATATTGAAATGGGCTTCTCCGGATGTCCCACCTAGGATCAACGCCTTGCTTTGTACCAAAGTTCGTAATAGGCAGAGTATTTACCTAAGGTTGAAAAACGTAACATACGTACAATAAAGTGGATAATATCTCCCTGTGAAATTAGAAATTATTGTATTGTATTTTTTAACCGACTTCAAAAAAAGGAGGATGTTCTCAATTCGACTGTATGTTTTTTTTGTATGTATGTTACGCGATAACTCCGGTTCCTTTTTTTATTGGAAAGAGGGTACCTCCATAGTGGTCCAATTTCGTTTTGAAGAAAATCATCCACGTCTAAGGGTGGCTGATCACGCATGAATATTCATTTTTATAAATAGCGCCTAAATTTTACTTAAGGAGCAATTATTTTAATGGTTGGTATTGCTATTCTCCAATTCAAGACGTTTTTCTTTCAATATACTTGAGAACCGATTTTTATTATCTCCTGTGTCAAGTCCTGTGTAGTGGCGAACTAGGACCACCTGTGAGAAATGTATAAAAGTTTTCTTCACTCAACCTTTACAGCTACCAGACGTCGACAAGAGATATCGCTTTTTGAATTGTAATCTTATTTTATTGAATACCATGATGTTTTACGAGCTTGATTTTTATTTGTATTGGTATTCATTCCATTATGTTTTGGAATTATTAAATTTTATTTTTAATCGTTCCGATATTTCGGAAGGAGATTAGGAGGAGGTTATTCACTCTACGTGTATATTCATCTATTTCGATCTCAGCTTATTACGGTCACGTTTTTAGGGCTCTTGCACGGAACTGTGCGGTGAAGCAAATCAGCGAGACGGGTGGCGACGCCGGGGATAACTGGCGGGAAGGGAAGCCGGTTAGAGTCGTGCGCTCCTACAAAATGTTGAAACATTTCCCCAAGTATGCTCCTAAGGCAGGCATCCGGTGAGACAAGTCATATATTTTACTTTACATATGTTATGCGTGTTTACGGCAGTGGTAGCAGGACTATATTTGTCGGAGAACAGTTGTATCTCAATGTAGAGGTTGACTTGTCAAAACTGTAATGGCTTTAATTTGTTAGTTACGCACAAATGGCGACGCGAAATATCGTGATAATCGGTAATTGGATTATGACCTTTCTAAATAACATGAAAAACTCTGTTTGATTTTGTCATTTGGAGCAAAAGAAGATGAAATTGCGGCATAGTAGTATACCTCATATTGATCGTTAAAAAATCGAAGATATTAGTTTTCAACAGTAGCCACTGATTTTTCAGTGTTCCGATAATAGTTTTGGAACTTTTCGTGCCGTATTACGAAATATTCATTGTATTTATTTCAGTTATGACGGAATATACAAAGTGGTAAAGTATTACCCAGAAAAAGGTTTGTCTGGCTACCGTGTGTGGAAGTACTTGTTGCGACGTGATGATCCCAGCCCAGCCCCGTGGGAAGCCGGGGCAAAGGAGTATTCTCTTGTTGTGAGTATCTAAACCCGCACGTAGGTCGTCGCACAAACGCAAGTAACGACCATTTTTTGCGTAGCCCGTACATGATAGATATACTTTCTCATTACATTATGTGCTGGGGGATAGTGATTTTGGGATAGTGGCTTTGTTTTATTTCTTTAATAAAACTATTATTTTCTATTTGTTAATTAGTATCCCGATGGCTACCTCGAAGCAGAAGCTGAGAAACAAGCGTTAAAAGAGAAGAACAGCAAAGCTGCTAAAGGAGGCAAAAAGAGAGCTCTTCGGGAGAGCAACGTCTCCGAATCGAATGGCAACGCTTCTCCGCCAGGAAAGAAACGAAAAACTGCGAAGAAGGGAACTCCTGACCCGAAAAATAGCGGTGAATGTTCGTATCTTTTGACATTGAAATGATATTATATTCTAATATCTATACAAGGAAATGAGAATAAGAGTACGTTCACGTAACAAGCGTTTGACGCGTGTTCAACGAGAATTGGGTTTTTATGTAGTGTACATATCGCACGCGCTCGTCGAATAATATCTATTTGTTACGTCCCATGTTGCAGGACGTTTCTCAACTTCGCCTATCAATCGTATTAAAGTCTTCTGTACCCGTTTCTACTAAAATATTTCCATCACAACGCAATCGCATAAAACCCGCCTCAACGCCTCGTAAACGCGTGCTCGTGTGAACGGCAGTACGGCAAACTTGATTTCAAAGAGCCCATCAACACGCGCTGACAAGTTCCCGGCGTTAGCAGCAGCGTCAAACATGCGTTTACTTAAAACGCTCGTCAGCAGGCACCTACGGCTTTTTAAAATTTTCATATGACATTCGGAACGCCCGTCATGCGTACGTACTCTAATTACTATAAACAACAAACTATTGATGAATGAATTAACTATTGATTTCTTCAACTGTTTCCAGTTTCTAATAGCACCAATGTGAGTCCAAAAACAAAAATACCAAGTATGTTCGCCGGCCGGAAGAGCACAAAGCAATCACCGGTAAAAGTAGACAACGCTTTAACCGACGCGGAAACACTGGCCATAAAAGATGACGCTCTCAATAAGAAGTTGTGGGAGGAATGCTTAGAAGTGTGTCGCAGCAATGGCAAAAAGGTTTGTTCGAGAACATTATCTTTAGCCTTACAAAGCGTTTACTCGAAAATGTACTGATTTATAATTGTGCAGGCGAATTGAGCATATTTAAATATTTCAACTTATCCACAGTGAAGAGTGTGAGTTTAATATATGTTATATTCAACATCGACAGTACAAGCCTGGATGTCAGTTGGCAATGCTAGTTGCCAATTTACACTTATCATATTGCCTGTCATAAAATACTTGTATTATTGACAGGGACTAGTCGACCATGTGACACAAGTATTCTTATGCATCATATGTCAAGATGTGCCTGTGGGTCCGGTCACTACACCGTGTTTACACAATTTCTGCATGGTAAGGGTTCTTCATTATGCTCTTGTAAAACAAGTCCAATGCAACAGTATATGTGTGTGATTGTATAAGGTCGCAACAGCGCGTACACAAGTTTTTAAGTTTTCGCGATTGTAATGATCGCGCCTGTAAATGCCTCTAAACGTTGGTTTGATTGAAAAAAGTAATATACGCGATTTAGACCCGAAAAAATAGTTTCATTTCCTACAACCAAGTTTGATTTTGTATTAAAAAGGCCAGATCAAAAGTACCAAGAATTAACGGGCATAAATGTGCGATAAGACTGATTATTATGCAATGTCGTTCTGTGACCACACCAGGGCTAATTAATAATATTTGTATGTTTGCAGGCCTGTCTAAAACTAGCGTTCAAGTCGACTGGCGTGCGGACTTGCCCCTGTTGCCGACAGAGTCTGGTCAAATACGAACCAGAACACAACGAAAAACTGAGAGCTGCCCTCCAGTGCATCATGCCTGGTTACGACGCAGGAAGAAAATAGACCCGATATCTCGTGGTTGTAATAAATTTGGCTGTAGCTATATGACACGAAACACTTGAATATAAAAAGATGGTCTTTAAAAATATAGTACTTGTCTTCATTATGGTGTCATTAAAATATAACTCATCTGAAGCTGTGTTCAAGCATTTCTGTAGCTATCTTGATTAAGCTGTCAGCGAAGTGATATTTACTGGTGATCAAAGCGAAATCTGCATTTGCGACGTACTTCATTTTTTGTAGAGATGCACACGTGCAACGTCATGTGTTACTTTTTTTAGCACGTTTCAGTAAAATATTATCGAACTTTACATAAAATTGCCACATTTCCAATTCGAATGACCTTCTATACTATACAATGACTTTAAATCTACCTCAGTGGCCTTACGGTTCCCATGCTGGACTGTCACGCAGAGGTCCCGGGTTGGATTTCCGGCCGGGAGAAATACTTTCATGGCCTACATTTATTTCTGTCGTGAGTTTGGGTGTACTTTGTGGTTGTCTATATGTGTCTATGGCACACGCGATACAGGGTTCTCCTAATGCAGAGCTATGAGTGTGTGCGCGTTATTGTTAAGTTGCACTCTGAACAAAAAAGTGGCGTAATTCGAAAAATAATTATTGGGGTAAATGAAAATTACAGTCGCATATGTTAAAAATGTGTTGTATATGAAACACTATAATTATATTAACTTTATTTTGTACGTTGTTTTTTACATTTTATTTGTCATTTTCCCAAAAATGTTGATTTTCGAATTATTATACGTCTCATTGTTAGTGAGCTTGTGAAATTTACTTCAATGCGGCCGCACGGCCCGGCGCAGTGCAGCAGTGCGCGTGCTGACAAATATACTGCCGTCCACTAACTTTTAGTTAGTGGACGGCGAGGCTAAGTAACAAGTGCTCAAACATCCGTTTTAAACAGCATAAGATAGAACTCAAAATTCTCTATTTAAAAACAGTTAAGTCATTTAGCGAGTCGGACATATCGGAACTTACCCTAATTATATACGTATCTAAAATATTGAACAATTTCAATATTCTAAAACTGAGTTGTGGTCTTTTATGATATCTCAAAAATTCTTTTGTCACATACCGCGTTATACTTAACGTACGGCAGTGTAGCGAACGGATAGTTCGTGCACGAATATTAAGAAAATATGTAAACGTGCACTTTTGACTCGCACACTAATATGCGCCCTGGCGTGGCGTCACTGTCACCATTGATGGATTTTACAGAAACTAACAAACGATGTAATTAGTTCAAGTTCATTGATTGGGACGAAAACGTAGTGTATTTCGGAATCTTGAATGTAGTCGTAAGCGATTTCGTTATGCTGTACCGTGATACTACTCTTAACATTTAGCATTAAGAATTGTGATTGTTAGAGCTGTACCAATTGAATTGTATTTATTTCTCGAGTACACATTTTTCTTGCACGCCGTATGCTATTGAGATACGGTATTTGTTTTACTATTTAATTTTAATGTATTTGCTGTGAGAACACATCAATCAATGATATTATTTGGGGCAATAGTGTTGAAATTTTCTTGCCGTACAGCATTGGATGTCTATGAATTTATAGTACCACTGGATTGATTGTACAGTTGAACTGTCTAACTAAATTCGGCAGTATATATTTCTAATTTGTCAGACGACTAAAGGACTATTTCTTATACTTCGTTTCAATCCATTTTCAACAAAATGTAAACAAACAAGTCACTGACCCGACCATAGACGGTTTAGTGATGGCCAATTGTAATGCCGACTACCAATCGATTAATTAATTAAATGAATCAATTTTTTTAATTGAGTCATACTAGCGGTTTTCACAACATAACCTATTAAGCATATTTAAAATTTCCGAAATCTTAATTTTAAGTTCTTCAAATCCTTAACTTAGATACTCGTTTAATTGCGATTGAAATATTCGATTTACTAATCGGTTACAAAAACTAATTGAATGAACCTAATTTTTTTTTCGTACAGCACTATGCAACTATAGATAAGTCATAGATGTATAGATGAAAAATAACCTCACTTTTGGAATATCATTTTTTGAATACAATTTTACGATGCTATTGAAATAAAAATTGTTGGAAAAAGTGATATCAAGTGGAATTTTTCGAAATGTACGTGAAAGTGTTACTTATTCGAATTATTGAGTGAGTGCTTTAGAATGTTAACCAAACAGTTTTGTTTACTTTTTGTTGAAAACGGATTGGAACAGACTATAGTGTTTTTGCGTTGAACCCGCAAAGACTAGCCCGAGACTTCTCTCGTATAAAGTTTAGCGAAGATATTAGAAAAACGCCTTGTTAGGTTGGCCCAGGCTGCGCTATCACCCAGTGACCGACGACTGGGCTCGCGTCGTTTCACGATTACCAGTTATTGTGATTCACGGAAACTCAATCGAGGGAGGTCTCCAGTTGTCTTCAATAGGGTTTAAATTAGCTAGTTACATAAAATTAAGTCTCTCATAAAGAACTGGATTAGACATCGTCCCCGGTTTCAGTGTTATTTATATAACAATGTGCCTCAAGTTCATGATTATAGTAAATGTTTATTTTTTCGAACTTTGTGGGGTGGCTAAGATAGCCATGATGTGGTGTCCCTTAAGCAATCATTTGACCATCACGGCAGCACATCAAGCGAAAAAGTAATTTTGCAGTAAAGTCAACCCACTGTCATCGAAGTTGTTGATGAAGTAAAATGTCCATGTCAAAAGCAAGAAGTAAACTCTAATTTAATTTAATAAGTAATTTGACTTTGTTTTTGTTTAATTAAACAATTACAGCCTATAAGTAGGTCATGTCTTAGAATAAATCCATAGTGACAGAAAAAAGTATAATTCGCTGTTTGGGAGTGCTATTTTACCTGCCCAAGTTCACTCGCTGAAAAGCCCAACGGTGTAGCCGAACAATTAGTCAACTATATTCTGTCTTTTTCGAAAACTGAGTAAAATGACACTTGGTAGGGTTGCCAGTTTTCATAAATTTTTAAATAGTTACGTAGTTCTTGTCCATAGTTTTCCCGATAGATTGTGAAAAAAAATAAAATTTTGTTAAAAATGACTGATTTGTGAATGTTACGGTGTGCAGCCGGATTTGATTAACTATATTGAATTAAAATAATAACTTTAAAATTAGTCTCCTCTTTGTATGTTTCCTAAATATAGTTCTATAAATACAGTGTATGTATGTTTGTATAAACTTACAATAATTGACAATTCAAATGAACTTGTGCTCAGTAATTGTCGAGGATGGTTCAAATTAAACAAGTTCTGTTATTTATTCCATAAGCGTGTCCAATATTCAATCGATAGTCGATAGAATATTTATCGACTGCCATCACTGTGTCACTAAAGCGGGCCTCACTTTTGTGCAATGAACTGTCATTTTACTCTGTCTTCAAAAAATACAGACAAATTGCCGCAGACGCTAGTATATGAAACATCAAAATTATGACAATTGAAATTATGAAAAATGAAAATTATGCCAAGCGTCTTCTGTAATCTTACATCGGTTAATAATTTTATTACGTATGGTTTATAGTTATTTGCACAACGTGTTGCGATGCAAGTAAATAAATAATTAAAATTTTTAAAATGTCAATAAAAATATTTGTCAAACAAGGTACATTGTTTTGATTACTTGTTTTAGTCTTTGTCTTTTTTTCTTTTATACAATTGTTAGATTTAACATGGATTTAACAAATAATAATTTTTGAAAAGTAAGTTTATGAAAACAAGATAATATTTTTTTAAATATTAAACTTGACGATGATCCATCATATGTTTGCATTGTGACACTAAAAGCAATTTTAGTTGTATACGAGTTAGAACTTGTAACTTCATCATAGCATGCCCGCGAGTTTACTTGCTTCACATACTTGCATCTGTAAACTCCAGCGCACGTTACTCACATAATTATGTTACTTGCGTGTCGAAGGTAGTAAACCACCTCGTTTTCAATAATTAGGGATAACGTATTTTAAGGAAATCATGTTACGTCATAGTGAAACATGTCAGTACAAATTAATGGTTTTTTTTATTAAGGACTAATTATTAATTAAGGCTGCACGAACTGGAGTAAAACCTGCTGGAAATCTCCGTAGGTGGCGTTGACGTGTACTTTTTCTTGTTTCATTTATCTCCTTCAGTCGTTACATCGTTTTGACTCTCTTCACTTAACCATAATATTACATTATACGTTGCGGCGGAACGGTATGGAAGCGAATTTATGTAACGTTATATTGTACGTAGCGTAACGAACTTTATGGTCAATTGTGTAACGTACAAACTAGATACGAGCCATGCATCGCGTCTTCCGCGTGTTCGAGAGGGCTCGCGAAAATTCCGCAGCTGCTGTCGGCGAAGACGCCTGGCGGTGTGACGTCAAACGTCTACGAAGCACTACAGCCTCAAGGCGCAGTCGCGCAGCGAGGCGAAATTGACGCTTCCGTTCCGCCGCAATGTAAATTGAGCCTAAGAAAGTCAATACGAATCCCGCGCGGGTTCCCTTCAGTTTCGTGGTTTATTATTGTAGTATTATTAAAACCTCACTTGTTCACGGGTAGTTTGTTGTAGGCTTAACATTAATGTTAGAAAACGTACAGTTAAAAGCACAATAGGCTTGACGCTTTGGATTATAGACGTTCTTATGAATAAAGCAAGGTGTGCTGTTGACTGTATAGTATTTTACTTTTGACGATTTAAATCAATAGTTTTACTGTACGTCTATGTTCTTAATATCTCTCGGCAATCTTCGTGTTTTGGCTCTCGTTGGCTTGGTATATTATTAAGGAGCAAATGTTATAATAAGGGAAATTGTTTTACGGCTCTACAAGGTTCACATGGAAATAAAAAACAAAAATAACTTACGTAAATAATTACGTTAGTACATTATTAGTACAATTATTAAACCGACTTCTGTAGACAGCCGCCTGTATAGCTGTAAATCTACAAGACTGAGTGAAGAAAAACTTTTTATAGATTTCTCATAGGCGCTACGGCAAAAAGTCGTTAAAAACTAAAAACATTTGAAATTCAAATTAGTACAGACGATAAATCTAATAATTACTATTACCTATGGTTATATACTCGATGCCTAGACACAGACATTTGTATTCGGGTACAGGGTTTAGTAGTCGTAGAGCTCCTTGTAAAAGAGTTCGTCCAGGGAAGCACTGCCAATTTGCCTATTTCTACCGCCAAGCAATAATATCAGCTTTACTGACAACATTATTAAGTGTCAATTACAAATATATAAGTGTAATTACATTCGGAAATCCGAAATTTACCGAGAGAAGTTAAGAAAATCGTTGCACTGTTGCTGTCTGTGCTTTTATTTATTAATAATTGTCTTAGCTCTAATTGTTTATGTGCATTGGCGTTTGTTTACAAACAGATGTATTTTTATAAATAATGTATTATTCAATTTTCTATAATTAATTTTATAAGTTGCTATAATTGATATAATTATTTCTTCTATTTGAAAATAATTAAGGGGACCAACTCTCGTACGGTATTTCGTTTTAATCGATTGTATGTAAAACATAATACCTACAAAATGAAATTCCACTTAAATAAAGAACTGACAAGCCGAATTTGTCGTTTCACTGTCGAAATGAAGACTGACTCGAATACGCGCGCGACATTCTGACGTTTATTGCCTCTGACAGATTGTGACAATGTCAGAAACTTTCCATTTTTCTATTGGCGAGAATTGGCGTCCGAGACGCTACAGCACCGTGCCCACATTAAATAACATTAATTTATGAAACATCACTATATATCAACATTAAGGACCTAACCGTCTAACTTGCATCCTTTACATTACGGAACACATTATCTGCGTTTCATTTTCTGAAGTTCTTTTTCTTTTTCTGAAGGGCTTTGAAACTGAGAGGCTTTGACTTTTCCTTCTGAACGTAAGACCTTCAACTAAGGGGGCATATGCCGATGCTCGTTTGCTACACCACAGACCTCTAGGAGGTCACGCATACGTGTAAACTCTGCGATTAATTTATCTCTCTCTCTCTCTCTCTCTACTTATTATTACGAAAGCACAATACAATGATTTTATGCACGAGACACTTAATTTGTGGTTAGATTGACCATAACACATCTTATTTTTTGTTTTAAGAATTGTCTTTGAATTATACCTAATATGTTTACAAAGAGCCGTTATTGAAAGCAACATCATCATCTGCAGCCCATTGCAGTTCGTTGCTGGGCATAGATCGCGCTTTTCGAGTGGATTGGTGACCGCTCGTAGGATATTGGATATGTATGCAGCAGTGGCGTAGCGTCTATTTCTACTGCCGAAGGACAACTTTAATTTTGCTGTCCCCTCTGTTTTCACGATTACAAAAGCACATAGTCCGGGAAGGCTCGTTTTTTTATTTATTTATAAAGCATTGGCTTAAGATATACATATATATATAATATATATATATATATATACACACACACACACACACACACACACACACACACAATTTCTAGAAGTGCGGCAACCGCGCGGCGGCCGCGAATTCGCGTTGCAGTCACACTCGATTGTAAAGAGTCCCTTGTCACGGTTGCAGTCACGGTTAGTGAGGTGTACATGTTAATTATCCAAATTAACGATGATGGATGAAAGTCGAATTGAAGAATTGCTAGACAACGTAGCACAACACTCTGCAATAATGGGATAGTAGTTCCGCCAGTTATTCCAATCGACCGGATAAAAAAAGCATGGGAAAATTTTACCAAAATTTATTGACGACTTTGAAACTGAAAGTACAACAGAAAAAAACATAGCAGGTGAGTCATTTTTAATACCTATAAGCTATAAGTGAAGTGTGTGCCCCAAGAACTAGGTAAAAGTAATGTTTCTTCGTCAGAATCCATCGCGAAACTGAGTCGAAAGATAAAAAAAAACCGTTGACTATTCCTTTATTTTTTTGCATCCTATACTCGTTTAAATGTTACCGCCATTTTCTTTTCTTTTTTTAAAGTAATCGGTACAGGTAGGTATTTTTAACTCTCGCAACTATGAACACTGGGCAGTTGGCTGTATGAATTAGTATGTAGGTAGTTATAAAAGTTTACGGAAGAGTACAGTAATGGAGGAAGGGAATTTCATACATATCTTGCAGGCGTTGGCCGGGAACAAGTCGCATCTTTCCGTGTTAATTGTTTGAAAGTAATGCAAACATTTCCGAGATTGTTTGAGAAAATATCATTTGCACACCGATGAATGTTATCTGTTGGAACGGCTTAACCTTTCTATTACAGCAGGGTAATAAAACCATTAACACTTCTTTTACTTAAAGCGTGTGGATTTTAACGATCTTGGTTCATCGTGCCAGTCATGGGTGCGACACATTTTTTTCTGTTTTTTAGTTTTTAATTATTTCTTTACCCAACACGTCGCCTTTTTTTTATAACCGTAGGTACTTCGTAAAATACCAACTGTCTCTCTAACTCTTTTCTTACTAATTCAGAAAGTTATTTACGCATAAATATTATCGAGTTTAGAATTAAGTGGCAATGCGTAAAAGTGTTTAAACTAGTTGTTTGCAATATACATACGGCACGTGCGTTACGGAGACGGTTCACGCTTTCGTCTTATTGTAGGTACTCTAAAGATGAAGCGACGAGACGAATCAGTGCAAATAATATTTCGTCTACTATATTAGTTTTACTCATTGCACACAATGTGACTTTCAATAAAACCTTTTCTCGCTATGAACTTTGCAACAATGTGCAAGCATTCATAAGGAAATAAAACACCAGATTCAACGTATTTTTTATTTACATGGGAATCAACCCTTAACATCTCTCTGAGCACAATATCACTGACGTGTAGAACACATCATAAAATAAAATAGCTAACCGAAAAGCACATCTAATAATTTAATTATTGTGCCGTCTACATTATTACATCACAGATTATTTCAACAGTAAACATGAACATGATCTGATTGAGTAAAAGGGCGAGTGGAGATCTTCTGTTTCTGCCTACTGCGCTGAGGCCTATTATCCATCCAAACGGAGGGGGGCAGAAACTACAAACAAGTAGGATTATGTTATGTCGCAATCCTACAGGTTATTTAAACACATTACCTCTCCTTTCCGCCTTAACTGGACATTGGCTTAAGAGACAGGCCCGCCACCTCCGACCCCTCACAGGGTCTCTACCTAGCTGTCCAATAAACAATTTAAAAATATCAACTATCATTTTATAATATCTTCTTGTAACAAACCAATATAGTCATTTTTTCTTCTAAATAGTAATAAATAGTAAAATCTGCGAAATCAGAAGCCTTTGCTTCCATTTTTGTGGTTTATTCGTCCTAGATTATTTCGCCATTTGGGATATGAGTGTCTATCGGACATGTAGACCCCAAATGGCAAAAATAATGGTAAAAATAATAATAACAATATCAAAATAGAAAGAAATGTATGTTAATAAAATTATGGTTTTCATTCACTTTGAAACTAAATAACAGAGTCTTGTAAAAATAAGTATAATAAGAGAACTTGTAAAAATATCAAAGGATAGAAAAGTTTCAGCAGCGTTATTTACGACGTGTAAATAAAATTTTAAACATAATACAATTTTGAGGGTCGAAGACAGGAAAGGTGTAACATCGTCGGAAGAGTTTCTCGACATTCATCAACAATATCTCTTATTTTATTCAATTCCTAACGGCTCTTAAGGGTCCTTTACTTTGTAACGAATCGCCGTTAGCAAATGCGATGAGATGACCGTAGAAAAATATTGTTCCTATTCATTTTGATAAATTACAACGATATTTTTGCTTGTACTCGCAACTTAGATTACACTTAGCCTAAAGAAATGCCTCGCTTCACTTCACATAAAATCTCACTGTCCCGAACTTAGCTCGACACTAATTTAAGGCAAACAGGCATCACTTACCTTTATGTGAATTTACTCCTTATAATGCTTTTGTACTATGGCACCGATATTAAAATATTCATATTATGTACTCTCACCTTGATTTCGCAACGCTCGTCTCGTAACAGCCCTCGGATTGCTAAAACTAAATTTCACTTACTAACTACGATCTATTACGTCAAACTATTTACAATTTTATTCATTCATGCAACCTTCACAGCTCATTCAATGTAGCTGTCTTCCCAAGACTAATAACAAAATACGAAAGCTTAAAATTCTGTCCTAATTACACAATTATGGAAGCGTTATTCGTTAATTATCGTTATACTTCAACAAGTTGTACTTATTGCTGTTAAACCTTGGAAATATCCTATTTAAATAAATTCCTAAAAAAATAAATCTATTTAGTGAGTAATTAGTGTGGACTTCATCTGTACTGGATGCCCCACGGATGGCATTATTGCACCTCATGGCACATCTGTTCTTATCATTATCACTACGCTGTATACAGTTCTATTCGCACAATGTTGATGAAGTTAAATTCAAAGTGCTGAAGTTGCGTTGAAAATACTGGACGCCGTGCTCGACTCCGTAGGATCGGTGACGACACCGTTGTTTGTGAACTTGTGTATGATGCCTTCGAGTGATGTCCACGTTCCGACTATTAGCCCAAGAACTCCAAACAGGATCACGATCCCATTTTTGATGCACATACGGATTCGTTCGGACCGGGACACGTAGTACCAGTAGGTGCAGCTTTGAATAATGGCTGGGAAAGCTAGCCCGAGAGCAGAGAGGCACAAAGCACCGAAAAGAGAGATGAACAGTTCCAACTCTGGAACGGCAGCACCAATACCAACTGAAAAAAAGAACAAATATTGTATGGATATTTTAATATTACCACGTGAAGGGACAAACAAGTCGTGAGTCAGGTGGTAAGCTACACACCGGTCCATAACAGTTTAGTGCCACTCAAAACTTTTTATCGCTAACATTTGAGGGCGCTGGCACTACTATCTGTCACCCTGAAGCATGAATTGTCCCAACTGCTTGTCGTTTCAACAGCACCCTTACATTTGCAAACTGGGACGCAGTACTGGTTACATTACTGTTTGGCGGCTGACTTAGGTAAGGTGCCAGTACCTACCCCTCCTTCATAAAGAGTTTTACTGTTAATGTCTACTATAAATTAGCACGAATAAAAATATTTGGTTGACAATAATAAGTAACTTACAGGTGAGCAAGACAATGATTGTTCTCAAGATGTACTCCCAAAGAAGCCTGTGTTTGCTGTTCAGCAGCCGTGATCCGATGTAGTCGGTCCACAGGATGTCGATTGCCACATAACACGCCAAGCCGTGGGTGATGAATATTGCGAAAGCGAGCAGGCATTGAACTACGCTCGCCAGGCTATAAAAGGAAAAGGACAGTGCTTATGTTACTCAGTAGGTAAAAGATATGTTTCACAATAATTCATGTAGATAACACAACTTACACTTCCTTGTCTTGTTCACTGCCCAAGTTAAGAGTGATACTGCCTTCCGCTTGATCACCGTATTGCAGGTATCCAAAGAGTCCCATTCCCACGTACAGGATAATGATGCTAATCATGGCTCGATTTAGTACGCCGAATTTACCAACAAAAGACTTGGGTGTTTTCATTTCATTCTCTAGTGGTAAGATCTGCAAATACAATACACAAAAATGTTTGGTCACTGCAATAATAGCGATAGGGGTAATTTATGAGCAACGCCTATGGATTTCAATACTTACAACGCCTATGGCTTCCAGCGCGAATAGAACTGTCCCAAAAAACAGCGGAAAATTAGCCAACTCCCCGATCGGCGCTTTGTCGGCAATTGTTGGCACTTTTCTAAATATGAAGTACAGGATGATGCCAAAGCTGACTATCGTCACTGCGTTGGCGACGGCCGAGAACGGCGCCAAGTACTTCAGATCTCGCACCCAGTTAATTAGAATGAGCGGCAGTAGTATACAAGCCATCACTTGTAATATAGGCAAATCTATATCAAACTGGTGTTTCAGTACTGTTTGTATGTTCTCAGTTACGAATACGACATAAACGCAGCACGTTCCAATCTGGTAGACGAGCAGGAAAGCGTTAACCACGTGCCTGAAACAATATAATTATAACTTTTTTTGTTAAACAAGCGACCTCAAAAGTTGATTACATCTCTTTGACAAGTTTTATTGAAATCGGTTACCGGAAGGTGCTCCAAACCTGATTCATCCCGCAGTTTGCCACCCTTAGAGGTGGAATATTTTCTTCAAATTTAAATGGGTCCAATATTGAGGTACCCTCTTTCCAACAAAAAAAAGAATCATCAAAATCGCTTTACAAATACCGGAGTAATGGCGTAACAAACACACAAAAAAATACCAGTCGAATTGAGAACTTCCTCCTTTATTGAAGTCGGTTAGAAATATGAAAGTTATTGCACTTGAATGAGTCATCAGGAATATAGAAGTGACACATATATAGGCGCTCTTGTCGGCGTGATACATTATGGCGGCACTTCACATGGCTACTTGTATTCGCCATTGCGTGTTTGATGTACTAGAAAAAATATTTGATGTACAGACCAACATGCATACACTGACGAATATGGCCGTCTAAGCATGGAGCCAAATAAGGATAATGAATATTACCTACCACAGTGTGGACGGTTTACTTGCGTGTTTGACTCTTTTGATGTCGTCGCGAACCCGACCAGCGCGAGGTAACCGAGTTGGTGTTTGCTGTATTTGTCGAATAGGCAAACAAGGCAAATACTTTGTCGGACATGCTATCTACACATGGCGATTATTTGCGCAATATATCAAATACGCAAATTCAAATTCAAATTCAATTTCAAAATAATCTTTATTTCATAGGTAAGCATTATTACACTTGAAATCGTCACAATGGTTAAACTCTACCGCTCATTCGTAAGGCAGATTCCCCCGAGAAGTAAGAGCAAGAAACTCTAGGGGTTGCTCTTTGTAAATAACATTTACAATATTTTTTTTTATTTGAACCATCAGAGATCGAGACTACCTCCATGAGCTAAACGGGTTACTACCACGGATTTTTGTCATCCAAGTACGCAGAAGTTGTGTAATAACCTTTAGTATAAAGTTTTTGTTTCACTATAGTTTTAAACCTCGTGAAAGGCAAATTTTGTATATCAACCGGAATCTTGTTATAGAAGCGTATACATTGAATGATTTTTGACTTTGTGAAGACGACTATCAAGAAAAGCTAATTTATTTTTATTCCTCGTATTAACGCAAATACGAATAGCCATGTGAAGTGCCACCATAAACAGAAGTACCCGAAATTCAAAGGGAATAAAATAACTTACGCTGCATAAGGCGCACACGCTTTACACCAGTCGGGTCCCTCTGAGAAGGCAGCCTCGGCCGCGGTCGTGTAGGACATAGAAGGCACTTTTCGCCGTTTGCACAGCACGTAACACGAGTCAATCAGCACATGGATGCAATAAGTGCACAGAACACCTATAACCACTGTGCCAATGGACCCAACCACGTAGCCGGCGTTAGCAAAGGCTTTAGGCATAGCTAAGATACCAGTTCCTAAGCTCCCCTTCAACAGATGTAGCAGGGTTTCCGTATTTCTGGAAGAAAAAGCATTACGTCATTAACAGGTACGGTATTTATTTCCACATTAATATTGTGAGATAATGGCATTCTTGTCATCAGCCCTATCCTTGTAAGATCAGTGTTGCTTCAGGCCAATAGCCCATCACGCCCACCCGCGCGCGTCCACGCTAAGGCCTTAGAATAATAACGCATAGAAACCTAGTCCGCACACGCTAAGTGAGGCAAATTGAAGCACTCCCAAAGGGCCTACACGAGCGGGCGGGCCTTCAGTGCTCAAGGTCAACTTGCACCGCGAACAGCTCAAGAACTTTAGCTAAAAATGACGAAATGTGCGGTAAATGAGTGTAAAAATATGTCAGACGAACATAAAATATATACTAACATCACATTCCACAAGGAAGTAACGCGTTTCAACTTGTATTTTTATATAAATATTCACTAAAACCGAAAATTAACCTACTACTAAAACTAGCCTACATGAATTTGATTTTTGCCTCACTTGTGACAGTTCGTTTGATATGAAACTATCATTCTATGCGTTATTATTCTAAGGCTAAGGCGTTCACCTTTCAAGAAGGTGACCGCAAAGGCGCAAACATGTGATTTGGATCGCAGTGATAGAATGAATGGTGACATTGCTTTCGAACACGATATATTGTAAAGAGCGGTCAATACGTATAAAAATAATTTTTTATTTAAATCACACTTTAACTCATCTTTACTGTATTGGATTGGATTGTTTTCCTGTGGGTTTTTACTTGGCAGTCTCAATGATGCGGGCGTTACATTTGTATGCACGTTACGGTTACGGGTTTTTGGTTACTTAATAAAAATGTCTAAATTGTGCATGTTAGTTACCTATAGGATAGATGTTTGATTTTAAATATTATTGTTTTTTAGTGTGTTGCTAATCTATGATTATGGATAAGGTGATCAAGAGGAAAAGAAACAAACAACTTCACGTATACTTTTTTATTAATATTTTAAACTGTTACCACACCGGTCTGCCGCGCAGAGATCCCGGGTTCGATTCCCGGGCCGGGAGTAACATTGTATGGCCTACATTTTTTCTCTCTATGTGTGTCCATGACACCCGCGACACAGGGTTTCCCTAACGCGGGGCTGTGAGTGTGTGCGTTTGTTAATCTACTATTTGATAATCCTTCAAAAGAAAGATTTTGCGTAAAATCGGTTCGGCAACCTTAATACGAGCTCGCACATTCATCTCCATATTAAAATAGCTTTGAAATCTAAAACATGGCTATGAGTAGGTGAGTGGAACGTCGAGACGTATCAATTGGTCATCGGACGTTACAACGTTAGAGTGATATAGCAGATATCTCCCCCAATAAACTACGTGAATTATTGAACATCCCTTTATTCAGTTGACAGTGATTTACTCTTGTTCATTATGTAGAAATGATCAGGAAATGGCCTCATCCCTATTGTCAGTGTTGCCCTCAAAGGTAGATTGAGGAAGTAGTTGACAATCTCCATAACTGGAAGGCTGAATTTACTTCGACGTGATTTATCGGAGCGTTACCTTTTGATTATTTTAGCAATGAACTCGATCAAACAGTTAATTGCTAATTGAACAGGTCCACTCAAGTTTGAAACGCAGAATTTATTTCTTATTTTATTATTTTTAGAAATTAATACTCATTAACGTTTTTTTAGATGGATATAAGACCCATTACCAAAACAAAAAATAAAAAAGATACACATATTAATAACAAAAAACCGTGTTAAAAGATCTATAAGTCTAATATTCTTCCCCGTAATGGTTAATAATTATCTTAAAATTAGCAAACATAAAGCGGAGTTGAGGAAAGATGTAAGACTATTTGAGCAAATAATAAATAATATTTCTATATTGTGATTAAGCGTCAGCGTCAGCGTCAGTGACGGCGGGCGAAGCGGCTGGACGAATGTGGACATTTGGTAGACGTATCGTTTCTTATGCGTGACCAAAATAAGATATGGTAATGTTTTGTTATTATATGTTATCTTCCGGCAGGTACGTTGTGTTAATATGGCAATATTATGGCAATATTTCTTCTACGAGGCAAGAGAACTCGCAGGCAAATGCACTACTTTTAGATGAAGGAACTTCAAGGACGTTATATACCCTATGTATGTAGACAATACCTCTCTTCTTTCTGTTTTTTTTTTCATTTTATATGAGATTTCTTAGGGTGATTCCATATTTACCATCGTGCTTTTAAAGTGTTATTGGTTCTTTTTCTAATACCACTTGGTTTAGGGTACCTACAACTGAACTAGTTTACTACAGAACCCTAAAACACATCGAAGTGGGTTTTTATTGGCCTTGTGGCAGAGAACACTATTTGATAATACTCACGTGGTAGGGTGTTCGACCACTCTGTTTGCATACGGTTCATATTCCTCCACTTCTTGCTTTTCATTCATGTTAACAAGGAAGATGCCCTTGTCGCCTCCTTTCTTCTTTTCATCTTTGACTGGCGATAGACTGAAATATAACATTACAATAAAACAAACGTTGTTTAATCCCTGCCAAGTGACACAATCTAAATTTATTTTTCAATGCGTTATGTTGAAATATAAAATAAATTTAATTTTGCACGACCGCTCTGCGTACTATATTGGTTATCTAACAAAAAGGTACGTACACAGTACTTGCAAATATATTAGATATTGGTTGCGCGAAAGTCTTCAAAGTTATAAAATATTGCATTTAACAACGTACAGAGGTCTTAACGCTGTTTTCATTTAACCTTACACTGTATACGTTTAGAAAAAGCTCAGTGGGTACTGCTAACTAGCAGTACCTACTGAGCAACGAATACTAACGAATAACTATTCGTGCGAGTCACTAAAAACTGTACTTTTCGGATTGCAATATAATTAAACAACGTTTTATTGTAAAGCAGACATACCTCGACATCAGTACGTAACACTAGTTAGTGCCTACGCATTGCTAGGAAACCGCCGTTGTCGGCATTGCGAGGTTTATTGATTTAAATTTACTTTGAATATTGTTCAGGTTTTTCAACCTTGTCAACTGCGATAGCGATTTTTTCTCCATAGCGGTGTTGTTAATTTCAATATTTAATGGCATCAGTGTTCATCTATTAATTTAAAGACTGATTACCTACTTAAAAATATCGTTAACGAATTAAGTTTTCACGGTTGGCAATTTCTATCACAAGAATGCAGTGAAACTGCCGGTCAGTGCATTGCAAAATGTTGTAGGGCAGTAACGGTATCTTGATTTTACTTTCGCATGCGTACTAGACTCGATGGTATAGTTTAGGTTTTTTCACCCACAGTGTGTTTACCTGTGTGGCACGAAATCGTCTGGCTCGAAGGAAGGGTTCACCATGGGTCCGCTCTGCCGTCGTGCCCATGATTCCGCCTCCTGAAACAATGAACAGGAATATAATAAAGTAAATTAATTTTATATACCACCTTCAGATCCTTTTTTTGATCGATCCAGAATACCGACCATAGTTTTCATTTTATATGATTTGTGATTGAATGGCTTTCCAGCTATTTATATAAGAGTAAATAGGTAAGGGATGATGACTAAAGGACGTAAAAAACGTGTACCAGCGGCGAAAAGTCTATAATATATATCAACAATCACAGCGGCTTGCTTTACAATTTATTATTATCCTTACTGAGTAGTACAGGGTCCAGGGCACGTCATGTCACATCATCACTTAATTGTGCTGTCCAAAGGACTATGAGTTGAATGGAGATCATCTTGCATTGTATCACTTGCTGCGTACCTTCTGCATCGTTTTAGCCACTGATGTGTACAAACAAGATGTAACTATCAAAATGTAGACCGACGGATTCCATATAATAAAAATAAAAAAATATACAAAATGACTAACTCGATTTCCACAGATTTATGTATTTTCACCAGCTAAATGTGAAAATAAAAACCTGTGTCAGTCTGCGTGCTGCATATGTATTGCGTACATGTGCTTACAAGTGACAGAGTTAGTTAAGAAAGGTTGGATTTGTGCCATTAGTTCGCTTTGGGAGAAACAGGCAGATGTAATGTGGGCATGCAATCATTAATTTATTTTCGTCTGCTGAAAATTCCATTTGCGATTCATTTACCACAACTTATTGTCATATCTAAGATTAGAACATTGTGTAAAAGTTATAGGCAAAGTCCACTTTATTGAACTTGGCATTGTCTGTATTGTGTCAACGGGCTTGCAGTTCTATTATATAGTTTGTGATTGTGTAATTTTAGGAATTTCAAAGAAATACATGACGTTCCCTAGCGCTGCAACCACGAGCGCCGTTAACGATGCCCGGGAAATTGCGAACATCTGTTGTAACATGGTATTTTAGCCGAAAGTACAATTATTGGCTCATTCGCTATACACGTGTTTCTAGCGTAGGTGCCTCATTAAATAATTTGTCATAGGTAACCATTACATGTAAACCATTATGTGTATAGATTCGATAACGGCCAAATCACATACACAACCATACAGTTTGTCAAATCAGCTGTTTTACAATACGAATAGGCTTCTACCTTGCGTAGTTAACGATTGGGGAAAACGTGGGGAACTCTGAGTCATGGTTAAGGGATATTGGTTTCAGGATATTGTTATGTCTGTTTGTGGAGCATGACAACAGTGCTTTTAATAGTGCCATCTATTTTTAAAAAGAACACATAAAGACATAAACACAAGGTACAGACTACACGTACATACTAAGACAACTTTTTTATTTAACCAAAATGAGATAACCTTTATATATAGAATTGTATGCAGTTAATATTACAATACAGCAGACACTTTACTAAGAGAGGTGTTAGGGACAATAACGGTATACCTAAAGCTGACACGTCGTTAATACAGTTCTTTATGGTTAGGAGTTGCCGTTACTCCACTCACGCTTGCTATTCTCATAAATGTCAATGACTCTCTCCTAAGTTCATACTTCAATTTTAACCTATGTATGTATGTATGTATGTAGTAACATACAACAGTAAACATCTTATAATCTTCGTTCATTTTTAAGTTCCCATAGATATAATTATGTTAGCAAATTTCAAAAATAGAAACGGGTTTTTTATTTGGTATGTGGAATATTTTTTCCTTACTTATCCGTATATGTTTTGGGCGTTTTGGGCCAATGCAAATATGTTGTTTTGGATAATTTATTTACGTTGTAACTTCCGAATTGGACGTCAATTTTCGCTATGGTCTGCTTTATAAACTTCGAAGACGTGTTACGAGACTCCACCTCAACGATAGATAAAAACGTATATAATATAGGATGTTATTAAAATAACCGTGAACCCAACATGTGTACATAACAAAATCGCATGAAGTTTGTCGATTTATGTATGTATACGTTGAAGGCTTACCTATACTCATTTGCTTTTGAAGTTAAACGTGTTGTGATAATTTGCATTAGATATGTACGCGTGTTTGTTTACGCTCTTCAATTGGCCGATTCTCATAGTCGCTAATTTTTCGAAGTGATTTTTAGTCATAATAACGACTGCCAAGTGTTTTGTATTGGCGCCAGTGCCCGTGGACGTCACGAGAGTCGCTCATCAAATGCGACATTGAAGTGAGCCTTATATACCTACAATGTATTTTACATACGTGCTTTTTACAAGAATGTAACGGGAAATTCTTTGACAATCTTGCAACGACACTAAGTAAGTAAGTAAGTATTTTTTTTATTTCCTCCACAAATTTGTAACAACTTAAGTAAACATAAGAGATATTAAAGTAAAAAACATGACAGGAAAATTTGTAGAGGTTGGAGCCTAAACTAGGATACCCTGTTTTTTAGGTCACCAGGCCTCCACCTCCAGAAATTCTGATCAATATTTATAAATCTATATTAACAAGTTACATGTATACTTAATTGGAAAAAAGAGTGATAACAAAAAAAAAAAATAAATATAAGAATAAAAATTAAATTGTAAGTGTGTGAGAGTGTGTGTGATGATTGAGTGCATGTGGTGTGTGTGGAAGTGCGTGTGATGTGTGCGAAAGTGCATGTGATGTGTGTGAAAGTGCAAGTGATATGCGAAGTGCTTGTAAATGTGGATACATATTAGAATGAATGTGCGACCTGCGTAGGTTTAGATGATTAATTTTACGAGTTCTTAAACGGTGGACGTGTTTGGTGAGATGAGAAAAAATATAAGAGTTCGAACATTGACGGTTAAACTTTACTTTCATTCTAACATTATTATTTTGTTTGACTCTGCAACTTAGATATTTATAGCATCAAAAATTACCAGTGAAATAAAAAATGACAAAACGCACCGATTACAATTACACTAAGTAATGCAACGCATGAAGACATTCATGCGATTGCGTTGAGGTGAACGCAGTCACTACTAATAAGTACTAGACGTGTGCGCCGGGTGTGCAGGTGTTAATAAAAAGAAACAAATTAAAAATCTTTAATAATATTAGTACGCGTGGGATGTATCCTATTATCTAATAGTCTGTCTATTAACGTGACTCAGTTTTTTATGAAATCAAGATAAAATATGATTACGGGACGAATAAATCGAGCGCCTGCAACAGCCGCGATGCCACTCACAGTCGCCCTGAGACGCAACTTGATAAATCTCATGCGCCTGTAGTTCCACTAGCACGCTTACCCTTCAGAACCGAAACATAGTAATGCTGACGGTACTGCTTGGCGGCAGAAATGGTAAGGCAGTTCTTCCCTGAACGGATTCACGAGGAGCTCTACTGGTACAAAACATTTTAACTGTACGGACATACGAGTATTACCTATATTGTATTATGGAAAAGAAAAATAACACAGAAGTCAATACTTCAATTAAAATGACACGACTTTACGTCACGACTGTCAGTGTCATCGGTGGTGGAGGCTTGTAATCAGGCGGAGGGCGGCGGCGGCGCCGTGGAAGCGCGGCCCTCGTGTCTAGTAAGTTGTTATAATTTTTCAGTTGATTGATTACTTAATCTTCAAGTCACGATTCGAAAATTTGAGAACTGCTTAAATGTAATTCGCTTCAACTAATAAGACGTAGGTGCAGTTTAAGCAGACCCCATTTTTCGTATGTCTATGGAGCAAACCTGCCTGTCGAATATAAACTATCGAAAATTTGACCTCTTTTAAACAAATTCCAGACGAGGTGACTACCGTCACACGACAATAGATCAATAAAAGTAAGTGTAGCATGTCTTAAATTAGCACAATCCTTACTCTGTCCTCAATTCCAACGCTCCTTCGTTCGCTAACGACGATCTTCCTGTGTATTCGCGACCCCTATATGCAGATGCAAGAGCTCCAGACAGGTCCTACCTTTATGCTTTGATTTGTTAAACGCTTGCGTCCTACTTCTGTGTAGATATGCATTCAAGTCTGTCACGTTATTGTCATAATTGACTAAAGAATGCCGAGTAATTTAAATTGTTTACACAGTAATTCCCCACGTAAATAATCAATAATAATAAGACAATGGTAAATAATGGTGCACTTTATTTACTTGGAAAAGTCGTGAAATCGCAGCCTGTTGACCGAAATATTACATTACATTAAAATTGAAACAATCAACGGTAAAATTGTGTACAATGCTTTTTTAAAGTGCATATAAATAAAACATTTATTAATACAAATAAAATACTACCGATAAGACTTTGAGATCCCGTTGATAGTAACAACTTAGCACGATTGTTGAAAAAACCATGACTTCGAAATAAATAAATATTTTTACAGTAGATTACATACTTCACATAAATGCCGGTTTGTGATTTTGTTTACGGCACTTGCGATGAGTCAATGTTATCACGATAACCACAGTCTTGGATATGGACAGCGTCTGTGATATCGACAAACGGTAATTTGTGACAATTAAGTATAAAGTCACAATTATAGCCAAAATCTTTTTTTAAGCATAGATTCTTCAAAATCTCTATAAGACATTCGTACGTGTCCGCTAAATACCGACACGTCAATAAAAATAGTACTAGGTACCCACCGACTGATTATTGTGTGTAGAGTACTTACTTCGGTTCGATTCTTGAACACGGTCAAGGTTTATTTCCTTTTTATGAACCATTAAAATCGAGTTTACTAGGCACTGTGAAGTTTAATGTGGAAGACTATGTGGCTAACTTTACACACATGCAGCATACTACATAATACGTATTTAAAAAAGTTATACCTCAACTGATTTTATAATGAGTTAATAATGTCAAGTAGGAAATAAAGTACCAGTATTTTTTTAAACACTCCGGTAATCTATTTTTAATGTTATACTATTTTGTTAAATACCAACGTGCTGCATTAAGTGTAATTTTGTGAAATTAAAATGTCACTGATTGCTTTATTGACGGCATACTATAGGACCTATTATTTTAAGAGAAAAAAACTTACGAATTGAAG